AGATTGGTTAGGATACTTAATATTTTATTGCTTTATTAGTTCCCTAGGTAGAATAGACTTAGATCTAGTTGGTGCCTATATAAAGGCCCCTTCCCCCATGTTATTTTTAATCATTCAATCATTGAAGACATCAATAGAAATCTAGAACTTTGTTCTTCCAACTTTGCTTTAGTCTTTTCACCAGAATACTATTGCAATTTTATCATTTCAATAGGCGCGGTTGTGGCTTGAGAAACACTATCGGTGATTCAAGGCGCGGGTTCGCGGCTTATCGGCAGTCGAAACACACGATCCTCATCATTGGTGCTTTCATTGAGAGGTGTTGATCGTGTGTTTTTCTTCTACCCCATTCCCTTTCTTTTTCTCTTTTTTTTTCGTCCCCCCTATTAAAAAAAAAAATCTTTTTCTTTTGTTTTGTGAGAGAGCCGTGAGGTTCAATTATTAAAAAAAAAGAAAGAAAATCGTGAGGTTGTGTGCTCGTGAGAGGAGCTAGCTGATCGGAAAAAAAAAAATCATCATCATCGTCAAAATGGGTCCTCGAAGTAAAGAGCGAAGGCGAGAAAAGAAAGACATGGCCGACAAAGAGATGAAGAAAAAACTCGAGAACTTGGGCGTGCGAGTCCGAAGCATGAGCAAGGCCATGGACAACCTAGGCGAAGGGTTCGACACCTCCAAGGCATCGGTGCAGGATTTAATGGAGAACATGAACCGGAGGTTCGACGAGATGGCGCGCAACTTCCAACACTAGCAGGCGCGGCCACCACCTCAGTCGCACGGGCACGAACGACTCAAGGAACACGAGCAGTGCCGCACCAAAGTCTCGAAGGATTCGAGACAATAAGGCAAGGCCCTAGGCAAGTCCCAGAAAGAGAAGTCGTCGAACGCGGAGGGAGTGGATTGAATTGCCAAGGAACGAGCCAAGGAGTACTCGTTCCCGTTTGAGTTTCCGGGATATTTCGACGAAGAAACTACTTTCTCGTTTGAGTTTCCAGGATACTTTGACAACGAAGAGGCAGCCCAAGATGAACATATCCATTCGGACAAAGATGATGAGTGCACGGCCAAGGAAGGACCAATCGACTACGAGGAGTCACCTATTTTCGACGCATACCCCAAAGATGAACTCATGGACGTCGAAGTAATTGAAGAAGCCGAGGTCAAGGAAACTAAGGTAGAAGGCAAGGTGCAAGAGGTTTGGACGATAGAGCTGCAGCAATCCGAGATACGCGAGTTGGTTAGAGTAACCGACCGCGTACTAAGCAAGTCCGACAAAGAAGAAGGCAGGATCGATGAAAAGTATAAGGAGCCTATTCTTCCGATTGAATTCTCGAAATATTTTAAGAACTCAACGACTATGAAGTACGATTGCGAGTCGAAGGACTATGAAGGACCGCCTATTTTTGATGTATACCCCGATGAACACTTTGTCGAGGTCGAAAGAATTTTGGTCGAGTCCAAGGAAGCCGAAGTGATCGGAGTAAAGGATGAGATTTGGGACGTGATCGAAAAAGACTGCAGTAAAGAAACGCATGATGTGTACGAGGTTAGGACGCCCCAATTAATGGTCGATGACAAGTCCTTGAGGACAAGGACATTCTCAAAGGGGGCGGGAATGATGCGGAAGTGGGTTTTGAGCCCTGGCGAAAAGAAGGACCAAGAGCCGAGACGACCCGAGGAGGCTAAAAATAGGGCCAAAACGACGCACGCATGG